CTAACTGTCGACCTTTATCCCCACCCCTAACTGTCTACCTATATCCCCACCCCTAACTGTCACCCTATCTCCCCACCCTAACTATCGACCTATATCCCCACCCCTAACTGTCACCCGATATCCCAACCCCTCACTGTCAACCTATTTCCCCACCCCTAACTGTCAACCTATATGAGGAGGTTAATTTTGAAGAATTAAAAACTCTCATGATTGCCTCATTAGGACATTGGTCGAGTGGATGAAGTTGAGGTCTATGCGATGTAACTCATACAACTGACCTCCAACATGCGGAGATTCTTCCGAAAATACGTATAACTGTTTATTGGAACGTTTATGTGTTGATCAACAGAGAAAGAAGTTCAGCTATTCACGATATTGTTGATCGTAGTGTTTACTTACGTTCCTATATAAGATCTGACCACTACGGTGACCAGTGAAGCGATATTTACAGTTTCACATGACTATAGATAAGACCAAGCGATGTGTGCGACTTTGAACTTGTATCGAGATAACATTTAGCACATTGTGGCACGGGGCTTGTGTTATGGGTAGGGGAGAACAAACATTAGAACTCTCATAAATTAAACGTGGTAACTATTTAACAGCATAACTTGACGTCGTTGGAGGAGTGGCGCTTTGCAGAGCTATGCTGACTAACATGTGTTATATTTGGGATTACACGTTCTTAGTAAAGTACAGATTCTAGTACGTTTTGGGTTGAGTCCCATCCGGGATTCGAACCCACACCCTCAGAGTTAGGCACCTAATCGCCTGCACACAAAGTCAGACGCCTAGACCGCTCAGCCACCGCGGCTTCCACTTCCCGGATGGGACTCAACCCAAAAAGTACTAGAATCTGTACTTTACTAAGAAAGTGTAACACAACACAATCACCACACAATAACAACACAATCACCATACAATCACCATACAAAAACACAATTACCACACAATAACAACACAATCACCACACAATCACCATACAAAAACACAATCACCACACAATCACCATACAATCACCATACAAAAACACAATTACCACACAATAACAACACAATCACCATACAAAAACACAATTACCACACAATAACAACACAATCACCATACAATCACCATACAAAAACACAATTACCACACAATAACAACACAATCACCATACAATCACCATACAAAAACACAATTACCACACAATAACAACACAATCACCATACAATAACAACACAATCACCATACAAAAACACAATTACCACACAATAACAACACAATCACCACACAATAGCAACACCATCACCATACAATCACCATACAAAAACACAATTACCACACAATCACCACACAATAACAACACAATCACCATACAATCACCATACAATCACCATACAAAAACACAATTACCACACAATAGCAACACAATCACCATACAATCACCATACAAAAACACAATTACCACACAATCACCACACAATAACAACACAATCACCATACAATCACCATACAATCACCATACAAAAACACAATTACCACACAATAACAACACAATCACCACACAATAGCAACACAATCACAACACAATCACGTACAACAACACAATAACAACATAATCACCACACAACTACTACACAATCACCAATCGTGATCTGAGATCAAAGTAGAGATTCTAGTGCTCTTTGAGATTCGAACACACACTCAGAGTAAGGCACCTAATCGCAGCACACAAAGTCAGCGATCTAGCCCACTGAGCCACCATGGTTATCACCAAAATGGAAGTCGGACAACTGATAGTCTAGATCACGTACTTTGCGTACCTCTCCGACATGCGTCACCATTGCTGAAAATGAATACATAAGCCTAACTGACGCGACCATCTAAACAAGCAGATTCAACGGGGGGTTCCCGTTTTGCCGGACGATTTTGTTCTAGATAAAAAATCACTGATGCGCGATAATCCTTAAACAATAGGGGATTAACTTATAGTCTTTTTCGGCTATATGTACACACTATAACTTCATCTCGATGTTTTCATATTCTCTTCATGATAAAATTCATAAATACACATTTCATACATTTTCAGAAAATGAGAAAATGGTAACTGAAGACATATAAATAAATATGCATACATATTTTTCCATAAATATACATAAAGATTTTTGTTCGTTAATATGCATAAATAATAATTATTCCAACACAGGGACACCAACTAGGTCTGAGACAAGATCCCCTAGAATTTGGAATGAACAGAATTTGGCAATGAGGGAACCATATCTACATTCTTTACATACAGGCACAATGGCAGAAATAATCATTTGAATAAGTTTCACTCAATTTAGCTGATATAATTCGAGTTCACCCAAAGCAAATTGGTGCCTTGTACTTATTGAGTTCGAACTCTGCCAATCGCTCATGTCCCCCAAATGAGACTATGGGTGACAACTACTCACTGAAAACAGACTATAGCCAGCAAACTAGCGGACCGTTACTCTTAATCCGTTATCATCACATCAGCTGTCCGGCAAAGTGGGGTATGACCGATTCAACAATCCCTACACGTGTGTTGTGATGACTGCAGATTGTACAGTGATGCCATGGAACCAGGCGTACATAGCATGAACTTGGACAATGACAATGGACAATGACAGCCGCACGTAGTATATATGAATAGGTTTGATTAACTGCATCTAACACTAATATACAGGTTTCATTTGTAGAGTAAACTCGGAGGTGTAGCAGCTGTGGGGTGCGATACATCGCGCTTCAGTTATATTACTTGATTATAAACATGATACACATAACCAAACCCGGATCGCGCCATCCCACTCCATATAGGCTGTCACGTGGAAATGTACGTGAACAGCCAACACAAGGACACTACTATTGTTTCCCACAAAATAAAAGACTGTCATCGCTTCACTGAAGCATTATATGCATTAAATCCTGCCAATGAATGCGTGGCATCATTCGAGGTCATTTTAAATGGTGTATGATCTACCGGTACTGTCTCCATATGGCGAGGGTATTTACAGAAGGTATAACATAGGCCGTGTATATACAGACTGTATATACACTATAGTGAAAGTGAGTTCAGTTTTACGCCACGTTTAGCAATATTCCTGCAATATCACGGCGAGGGACACCAGAAATGGGCTTCACACATTCTACCCATGTGGGAATCGTAGCCGGTCTTCGGCGAGACGAACGAACACTTTAACCACTGGGCCACCCCACCGCCCCGTATTATATATACAAACTCCATGGACACAGTAGATAGATGGTAGATTTTGAAGGAGTATGTGGACAGTACTTATTGAGGGCGTGCATCGATGTGGTACGACACATTTCAATGGTTGCGTAAATAATTGCTTCGATTTTTACGAGAATAATAGTGGGTGGTGGTGTGGGTTTAACAACCCTCTCCACACACACAAACACCACCCCCCACACACACACACCACCCTGGCCCCACACACCCCACCCCTAGTTGTATATCACTACGGAGTATAGGGTTATCAGCTGCGGTTTCTCCCTATGGGTAACCGTGACGCATCGGTTGCTCGTGAAAGAGTGAGTCACATTTGGGGTATTCAAACAGAGTTTTGAACAGAATTCAAATTATATAACAGTGAGTCAACTTGACCTTGACCAAGGGATATAGGTCTTACACGTTTACCGCTTTCGTAATATCCTGTCACGCCCAAGGGGCGTAATTCAGTGATGCGAGTCATATTAGTGAAAGTTACTGTGATATAAATGAACTGCCAATACGATACTGTAATATTTACTGAATCAATCTCAAATATTGGACAAGGAATGATAAAATATTCTGGGATGAATAAAACCTATTTCTTCAGTTCGCGATATATGTGAACTTGAATGTGCCTGTTCAATATTCATAATCTGTTTCGAGTATTATACCGATATATCATTGTATGTTACAATATTCGTTTCAGGATTTATCTTTTCAACATCTGGTACATGACAGGATTATATCATCCATGTAAATTTACACATCCACTAGCAATCGATAACGTTTTGTTAACATTAAATTTCGTAAAGTAAATCAGTTTTAAGACTTTTTCCAAGTTTTGACTGCCTATTGAGGTAATATAAATTTCTTATAATAGCAAAGAAGCAAATTTTGAAGAACGAAAATTAAACCTGAAATAGTAATATGCGATTTTAGGATATAACTCGAAACTATTTAAATACAGCCGAACAGTGTCTTAATTTCTCGAATACAGGAAGTCATGTCAGTTAAAACTGAAAAAAGCAGGAATTTGAAATAACCTTCGTTTTCACACGCCAGCTCGTGGTTACATAAAACGTGAGAAGTTAACCCATAAAAAGCAATACAATCCGACACTATATAACAAGCGAGAGAGGCGAATTAGCTTTCACTGATGGAAACGTTTAAGCCGTGCATCCGTGGAGATTGGTGTCGTGTCAACAACGTGGGGCGCCGTGGGTCAGCGTGTTCTGATGACAATATTATGTTGACATTCGGTTTACTCCAGTTGAACCTTTCAGTAGGTTCACACACTGCGTATGCTCACCTTCTCCCTGGCATATTGCACTAAATTCATCCTATCTGCCGTCATAACATCGCTCAATTTACGCATGTTCAAATGGCTAATCAAAATATTATGATGAAAACACGTTGATGGTATATTTCACGTTACCTTTTGCTTACTGATTCCGGTGGTAAAACACGTCCCATGATTTCGATGTTACGAAACGAAGCGGCTGAAAGCTGGTATCCCATACTTGCCATCTGGTCTCTCGGTACATTTCGCCGGCCCGAGAATTACCGAACGTTATAGCATGCAGTTTTCAAACGCGTATGCTTCGGCAGAGACCACATCCTTGATTCTCTCAGGATTTGATCAAACTCATTTCAACACGGTGTAATAATTACCGGATTACATACACTATAGAGGCACTTCCGGACGATCAGGGTGGACAGACACGCTTTTACCGCAAGAAAGTAATGATGTGTAAATACCTACTTTTCTGTTTCCCCAAAATGGCGGCTTCGGCTGTCGTCTGCTTGTGACCCAAAGAAGGCAAATGTGACCTCTTTAGCTCGGCATGTTGAGTAGACGAGCAAGTCGGAACGAGGAAAGGTGCGATGTCGGTATAAGCCTCGAGTCTGTAGGAAGAGTGAGATACAGGCTGGTGACCTCTGTTATTTAAATTTTATATGTCCACGTGGTTGACCTGTCGATGAGCGCTCCGACCGAATCAAACACAGAGGGATGTGGACGATAGTAAGTGCGGACTGCCATGGCGTACAGCCTGCACTCATCCCTTCCGCACGTCAGTTAGCCAGCCTTCTTTTTCACTATCCACATCTTAACTATGTTTAATGCGTCCCGGTTATTGACTTCTACTATGAATAGCACACCATAAACATATCGATTACTAGCAGTTTTCATATCACCGTTTCCGGCGCCTCAGAAGTAGCGGTGGTCCCATGTGATGCTGTAATTGGATTTCTTTTAAGTCCGTTATACTTAGCTATCGATTTGTAAATTTCCCCCCCCCATTTTGGTAACAGTTTGGAGGAATAATAGGACACCAAGGTAATTCCTTAATTATCAGCTCAAGATAGATGGACGATGTATACAGAGGGGCAGTGTCTGTCATGTATGTGAGAACCCTCATCTGTGGTATAATTGATTTCGTCAGCCACGTACTATTGGTTAACATCATTACATGAATGAATGAATGATAATTGATTTGTATAGCGCCTGGTTTCCAGATTCGACATGGCTGCTCAACGGCGCTAGTTGAAGTGAGCGGGAAAAAAAATGTCTTCAGATGAGTTAGAAAAGAGTCTTTTGTTGGACAGTTTCTGATTTCCAGTGGTAGAGCATTCCACTGTTTTAGAGCTGCAAAGCATAGACCCACTTCAGCCATCTTTGTTTTAGTTTTAGGAACATGAAGTAGTTTATCATCGGCTGATCTTAAAGCTCTTGCGGGTTGGTAGTGATGTAACATGTCCTTAATATAGGTTGGGGAGTTTTCATCATTCAATGCTGGATATGTGATAGAAAGAGTCTTGAAAGTGATGCGGTGCTCTACGGGTAGCCAGTGGAGTGATTTCAGGACAGGGGTGATATGGTCAGTTCTCTTGGTACCAGTCAGCATCCTCGCAGCACTGTTCTGCACTTGTTGCAGTAGTTTGATGTTAGCGGTAGTAGTCCCATTGAGGAGGGAATTTCCATAGTCAAGACGTGATGTGACACAGGCGTGGATTACTGTCCTCAGACTGTCATTGTCAAGGTATTTCTTGATCTTGCTGATCTTAAATAGCTGGAAGAAGGCAGATCTGCATGTTGACTTGACATGGTTTTTCATCGTCATGTTTCTGTCGAACTTGACTCCCAGTTTTTTGCACGTCATTGCTTGGCTTGATATGACTGCCACTAATCTCAAGAGTTACATCTGGGATTTTGGACTGTAATTTTCCAGAGCTAATAGTTATGAATTCTGTTTTGGAACTGTTGGGTTTGAGTGCATTTGCTGTCATCCACTGTTGAATATCATTGATACAATGTTCAAGCTGTAATTTGGAAGCAACTACTTGGGTAGGTTTTGTTCCTATATACAACTGGTTGTCGTCTGCGTATCCATGGAAGTTGACATTGTGTTGTCGGATGATATTCTCCAATAGGCGGTATGTAAATGTTAAAAAGGAGAGGACCAAGGGCAGATCCTTGTGGGACACCACAGCGCAGATCCATCAATTTGAACTTGAAGGTATCTGTCAGTGAGGTACGATCTGAACCACTGAAGTGCAGAGCCGCCAATACCAACTGTTTGTTCCAATCTCTGAAGCAATATGTCATGGTCCACAGTATCGAAAGCTGCAGACAGGTCTAGCAGAACTAAGAGAACTGTTTCCCGATTGTCCAGTGACTGACTGACTGACTGACTGAGTTTGGTTTTACGCCGCTTTTAGCAATATTCCAGCAACATCACGGCGGTCATGATGTCATTTTGGACAGACAGTAGTGCAGTTTCGGTACTGTGTTTCCTCTTAAAGGCAGACTGGAATTCTTCTCAAAGGCTGTTATGATTAAGATGCTCCCTGGCACGTATGGATACAATTCTCTCCAAAACTTTAGCAAGAAATGGAAGATTGGATACGGGGTGAAAATTGTAGACACAATCAAATTATCATTTTCAACATACAAAATCAGTCATGCATTTTGATACACCAGTTTCCATACTGAACGTATTCTGGCAATAACTTTTATATAGGAATTATATTGGGATAATGAGATTCTCATTACAACGTTATTCAGATATACAGTTTTCATTATACCGTTATTCTCATATCTCATATACAGTTTTCATTATACCGTTATTCTGAAATACAGTTCTCTTAATACAGTTATTCTAATTTCCAGTTTCCATTATACCGTTATTTTGATCTACAGTTTTCGTTATACCGTTATTTTGATCTATAGTTTTCGTTATACCGTTATTTTGATATATAGTTCTCAGTTTACAGTGTTTCTGATAAAACGTTATATAGAAAATAACATGCTGTTTGGTACGCTTTTCATGTCATACATATACTTTGTGTAGAAGAGTTAAAGGTATTGTGATAAAGTAATCAATAGAAAAGGACACGGCGAGGTCAAACGGTCCTGAGGAGAAAGCTGCAGTGAAACTGCATCACATTTCATTATGGGTAATGAATGACCCCGCGGCTACGTATACTTTTGTATGACGTCACTGAACTCACTGTCACCGAGGCGGGATACCTGTACTTTTTACACTCGACAAACCTGGTTTAACTGATTACAAACTGAAAGTTGAAAGAATTACTTTGATAACAGATAGCATATCACCCTCGTATCTTTTGATATCGGATACATGTACATCAACACTCGTCGATAAATGATTAAATGTTATTTAACATTTGAGGTGAAGGTGAAATTGAGTTTAACGTCGTGCTTGAGAATATTTCGCTCATATGACGACGTGCATGCGTGTGTATGTGTATGTGCGGCTGCTTGTACTAGCCCAGACTGAAGCTGGTTTTATAGTGCTAGCCCACTGAGATACCATGCCGCAGTGAAGCATGAATACCCCACTCAGACACACTATACTGACTCCGAGCCGACCAGTCCTTGTTGTACCCATTAATGCCGAGCGTCAGGCAGGGACCAACAAGTACCATATTTTAACGTCTTTTGGTATGACGCGGTCGGGGATCGAACCCTCGACCTTCCGGCTCTCCGGCGGACGCTCTAACCACTACAGCACGGAGGCGGTTAATATTGTCAAGAATATCATCTTCAGGTATATCGATTATCTGATATGGTAGACTAACTATCAAATAGGCAACTCCCTTTCACTGGCTTACCCACCTGAATCTCTCTTCAGGTATATCGATTATCTGATATCGTAGACTAACTATCAAATAGGCAACTCCCTTTCACTGGCTTACCCACCTGAATCTCTCTTCAGGTATATCGATTATCTGATATGGTAGACTAACTATCAAATAGGCAACTCCCCTTTCACTGGCTTACCCACCTGAACTCTCTTCAGGTATATCGATTATCTGATATCGTAGACTAACTATCAAATAGGCAACTCCCTTTCACTGGTGTACCCACCTGAATCTCTCTTCAGGTATATCGATTATCTGATATGGTAGACTAACTATCAAATAGGCAACTCCCTTTCACTGGCTTACCCACCTGAATCTCTCTTCAGGTATATCGATTATCTGATATCGTAGACTAACTATCAAATAGGCAACTCCCTTTCACTGGCTTACCCACCTGAATCTCTCTTCAGGTATATCGATTATCTGATATGGTAGACTAACTATCAAATAGGCAACTCCCTTTCACTGGCTTACCCACCTGAATCTCTCTTCAGGTATATCGATTATCTGATATGGTAGACTAACTATCAAATAGGCAACTCCCTTTCACTGGTGTACCCACCTGAACTTCTCTTCAGGAGAGAAGTGAGACCGCCTGAACTTTGTGCATAAGTGACAAAATATTCTCCACCATGCTGTATGACAAAAGATACGATTTCAACCCCCAAAAGGTCAACTTTCCTTTCTTGCCGAGCAACAGCTCTTGCCTTTGGTGTTTACATTTCACAACTTTTGAGGTATAAGATGTCAAAGAGCGTCATGCCAGAATGACTTACATTAAACTAGCTCTCACATATATCATCGAGAACGAAGCATGGGTATTTCTGAACATATTGTCGCAGTTTATGAATATCACTATGGTAATTACTGCCACCGGTGACAGGAGCAGCCCTGACACAGAGGTATTACTATTACCATGTCAATTGTTGATAACGCATGGCATATACATGTAGTACATCCATAACTATTGTACTATGCTCATTATTACGCTTGCATGTTACCCTACTTGTCTGTATTAAACTCTCTCTCTCTCTCTCTCTACATGGCTCTCAGTATAGATGAACCAAAAGACTGGAATAGAAGGTACTTGTTGTCACCTTTAGTCATATGTAAAACATTTGTAATAATACAAACGTATAGTGAATAACTGATAATTACTAATCGACTTGTGAGGAAACACGTGTGCACCAGCGAAGGAAAAGATCGTCCAAGACCTAGAAGACCAAGAAGGTCCAATTACCATGATGACTGAGCCCTGAAATCCCAGGTCCATGCCGAAGAACTGCAATCGAAAGTGGGACTGTCAAAGAGTACCATCAGGAGGAGGCTGCGGGCTGCTGGCATGAGGGGATGCCGTGCGATCAGACGTCCCTTCCTAGTCTGTCTCACAGTCCCTGAACCACATTAATTTTCCTACTGCCAAGCCCTCTCTGCAGTGCTAAAGCCCTAAATAAAGCAAGTCTAGATTTCCTTAACGTCGTTCTCAGCAATATTCAAGTTATATGTCGGTGGTCTGTAAATAATCGAGTCTGGAACAGACAATCCAGTGATCAACAGCATGAGCATCAATATACACAACTGAGATACGATGACATGTGTCAACCAAGTCAGCGAGCATGACCACCCAATATAAATGGGCTTGTTTGTTACTATCAAAATTATATATATTCAGAGACAAAGCCTTAGTCTAGTCCCTTCCTTACACAGCCAGGAACGCCTTGCGTGCTGCAGGCCCCAAGGAAAACGCAATTTGAGTACATGACGTATGGTTCACTGGTCTGATGAAAGTCGCCAGCTCCAACAAACTGACGCCACTGAGCACTTCGCCAACGTTCGTGGTTTCGCACTGTTGTCGCGTATGGTGGCGAGGTGACGAAGTTTGGTTTGGTTGTTGTTTAACGTCGCTCTCAGCAATATTCAAGTTATATGTCGGTGGTCTGTAAATAACTGAGTCTGGAACAGACAATCCAGGGTTCAACAGCATGAGCATCAATCTACACAACTGAGATACGATGACATGTGTCAACAAAGTCAGCGAGCATGACCACCCGATCCCGTTAGTCGCCTCTTTCGACAAGGGTTACTGAAGACCAATTCATCACCAGGAGGTGTATTAGAAGGAGACTGGCAGATGTTATCCGTGCGAGGGGCAGCTACACCAGGTTCAGATATGATTTGTACAATCACAACAATCAGTATTTGATCACTGTAAGACAGTCATATTTATGCCGTTGTCATGGTGACCATACTTTACGGCATTGTTGATATTTACGTTTATTCCTCTCAGACTGCAAGTATATTCTTACCAAATTTCAGTTTTGTT